AGCTTTCAAGCGATTTTTCTACGCTGATGGTGGGACCCATGATCGCGAACCATCACCTGAGGTACCTACACTTCATTGCGCATCCAATGAGTATATGGGTCTTTCCCATTGTCGCCCAGACAAGGTTATTCATTCAGAAATCGAGAAATAAAACCTAACATGCGTGAAGGAGAATTTGTACCATTAGAATGAAATTAATGGAAGCACATTAGATAGTATGTGTAGAGGGGAGTGAAGGCTTTCCGGTGGTACGGAGATCTGATGGTATGGACGGTGGTTAGCTGAAAATTTTTTGGCTTGAAAAGTGGCAATGGACAGGGGAGGAAGAGAAGAGAAAGTGTTTTTTTGTTATTTTCAATATTTTAAGTATTGGGGACTCATTTGCACTTTTTTTAAAGTTTAGGGATAGGGTTGCAATTTAGTCTGAATTTTTTTTTTTTTTTGGGTTTTAAATAAGAGGGTATAATTGTCATTTTACGTTCCAAAACAGTGAAAAGTACTTTCAACGCAACGAAATATTGAAATAAGAGCAAAAATGTCAAAAAATGAAATGTGGGAACGTTTTCTACCATAAACTTGAAAGATAGGAATGTTTCTAATTACCCATAATCAAATCATAAGGAGACATACTTTTATGGACTTAAATGTCATTTAGTCAAACCTCAAGGGAGCTAATTGTAAATTAGTCTTGTCGTTGCCAATTGGGGGCATGTTGTAATTTTCTCTTTTTCTTCCCCCCTATAATTTGTTTATAAACGCAAATATACTCTATTGTTTTGTATTTGAAGTTTCCCTTCCTCCAAGTAAAAGCCTCAGGCCCTGTCTAAAAATAAAAAAAATAAAAAATTATTAGCTAATCTTTCACTGATCAAACTTTCCAATCGAAATGGTATGTAGATGTTATCTCTCAATTTCGAATTGTGTTTATTTTGTAAGCTTCTCCACCGATTCAGATCTCAGACTGTAATTTTGTTTAATTTTTCTGAATTTTTGTAGGAAAATAGAGGAGATAATTTGGAGGCGCAAATAGAGGCGTTGCTGAATGTAGAGAAGCATACGAGGCAAGCGGGTGATGTGGCCGGCACCAGGAAGGCCGCGACTGACATTCTGAAGCTCTGCTTCGACGCTGGAGCATGGAAAACTCTCAACGATCAGATTTTGCTTTTATCTAAGCGCCGTGGCCAGTTAAAACAGGTATATCACTTATACACATATCTGGGCTTTGGTAGTTTTGTTAAACATATGGCTTGAATTATCCCAAATGTAAATGATACTTCTCATGTTTTTGTGGGCTTGCTTTAATTTTAGTGTAGGATTTGGAGAATGTTTGACTAAGCTTAAA